ATGGTCTGTACTTTACATTTCTCCTGGAGTGGGCAGATGGAGAATATCATGTCTACCGTTCACTGCTCAACGCGGAAATCACACTGGGACTCGGGGTAGACACGCTCAGCAAGCTTCTGTAGACGGACGAGAACAGCTCATGCGTAGACTTTGCCAACGACGCTGAGGAGGGAGATACCCCTGTAGTTGTTGGAGTCGCTTCCCTCCCCTTTGTTTTTGTAGAGGGTGATGATCTTAGCATCCCTCCTGTCCTTTGGCATGGCCTTCCTTCCAGCACTGGCAGAGGATGTCATGCAATGGCAGCAGTAGGGTGGTCTTGCAGTGCTTAATCAAGTCGAGGGGTATGCCGTCGTTGCCCGGTGCGTTGCCAGGGGCCAGGCTATCAATAGCCTTGCTGAGTTTGTCAATGATCGGCTCGGCGTCAAGTTCGTCCATGGATGGCAGGCAGTCGATGGCATCAAGCGCTGACGGTGTCACGGTGTTCTGTATGGAATAGAGGTCGGAGTAGTGTTCCGCCCATCTCTCCATCTGCTTGTTCTTTTCTGTGATCATCTCCCCAGTGGAAGATTTGAGGAGGGCCGTCTTGCTCTGAGCCGGACCAATTGCTATCTCTTCCCTCATCTGCTTTGCAGATTCTCCTTCTTGTGTTACACCAAGTTCCTCCTCAAAGATGGAGGCAAACTATTCAACAAGTTCTGGTTGGGCCATCTTGCTGGTGTTAATTCGTGCCTTTCCAGGCTGTCTAGCACGATGGAATTTCTTTAGCTGCAGCTTGACCTTGCAACACACCATTGAATGGTCTGTGTCGCAATCAGCACTCTAGAACGAACGGGTGATTAGCACGTTCTTCAGTGAGGTGCGCCTGGTCAGGATCAAGTCCAGCCGGTGCCAGTGCTTTGAGCTCTAATGTCTCCAGGAAACCTTGTGTTGCGGCTTGGTCTTGAAGAACGAGTTTGTGATGCACAGATCGTGATATGTGCAGAACTCGAGCAGCCGCTGTCCGTTGTCGTTCATTCTGAGATTCTCGTAGTGGCTGTCAGTGTTGGGGCATACACACTGAAAAGAGTGACTGGGCCTTGAGTGGTGTTGAGACGGAGGGTGAGAAGTCGTGCAGAGCCATTACTGCCCAGTTCCACCATCTTCAGCAAGGTGTTATTCACTCCCTGTTCCCTGTACACTGGCTGAAACGTCGAGACTTGCTCTCACCGGTTCTTTTTAGAACCACACCTCTTCACAAAAGAGATATTTCCCACATGGTGTACCCGCAAACCTTTTTTGTTTAACTCTGTTACCTTCCTCGACGTGCGCGTCCAGATCTGTGCACGGAAACTTGGCACAACCGTGCATTACAAACCCATAGATTCCCACAGCTACCTGCAATACCAATCGTCTCACCCCCTCAAGTGCAAGAACTCCACCCCTTTAATACTCTCAGTTTCTTCGACTGCGTAGGATTGGTCGTAGCGATGCTGAGTTCTCTGCGCGTGGGGAGGAAATGCTAGGTTTCTTTCATCAGCGCAGTTACCCTGCGGCTATCACAGACGCTGCCTTCAACGCCGTATCTTCAATCCTGCGCGAAACGGCTCTGAAACCCACCGGGGTCAAGCAACGTAATCGCGTCCCCCTCGTACTTACATACCACCTTCGAAACCTCGATCCCGGTACGTAATGTTCTTCTCAAGCATTTTCGTACATTTGGAAATGATGCGGCCACAGCTTCCATTTTCACTGAACCCCTGATTTGCGCGTTTCGGCGCGATCGTTCTGTCGGGGACATGGTTGTATATTCCTGGATAGATTCTGTCTCACTGTCAAAAGCGGGCAGCAATTCCACTTGTCGGCGCCCCGGACGTAACACCTGCCCCTACATAGTCGGTCGTCGGCCCCCGCGGTAGCAACAGAATACACCGGGATCATACGTGCATTACAAGTAATGTGGTTTATTTCATTACATGTCTATGGAGCATCAAAAGTGGGCAACCTCATTTTCTTATTTTCTGCCAGTAGATTTTCGGGATTTTGGACTTTGCCTAAAGCATTTTCAAAAAACGCAATTTTCCGCACGGAGAAATTTGGATTTTACTTTAGCAACTCTTCGTGGGGCGTCAAAAATGGACAACTAAGAACTTCAATTTCTCACTGGCAAACTTACTGTCATGCTCCAAAAGTGGACAACCCCATTTTTTCATTTTTTGCTAGTAGATTTTCGGGTTTGGGGAATTTGTGTATAGCAATTTCAAAAACACATTTTTCTGCTAGCAAAAATTGGAAATTTACTTAAAGAAGCCTTCGTAGTGCGTCAAAAGTGGACAACTAAAAACTTCATTTTTTCACTAGCAAATTTTATTTGATGCTCCCAAAGAGCACAACCCCATTTTTTCATTTTCTGCAAGTAGATGTTTGGGCTTTTTGAAGTTGCACCACCCTTTTTCATAAAACCCAATTTTCTGGTAGCAGAAATTTGGATTTTACTTTTCTGACGGCGGGGTTGTCCAAAGTGGACAAGTTGAAAACTGAAACGACCGTTGTGCTCACTACGCTCAGAATGGAACGGTCTTGGGAAGATGGGCAGCCAACATTAACGGTAGAGAGTCAATGGTCTGCATCTGACGCGTCGGCGGATGGCTTCACAGCTCGGGGAAAAAGTGTGGGTGATTTCCTAT